TCTTGCTCCCCTCCCTTCTCACTGCTGCTCAGGGGCACCTCCACCCCCCACCCAAAGGCATTAGACGACTGGGCATGACCACCTCCAGGAAGAAGGAATCAAGTGGAAAACAGAGAGCCTGGCTTAGGGCTTTGGTGTTTCAACCCAAAGCCCTCAGGGTAATTTAGACAAAATGGTTGGGGTCCAGGATGACTATGACGAAGGCAGATGCCTCCCAAAAAACACACACTCGTGCACACTTTCCCACACACACGCAGGCAAGAATGGGGACTGTGAGCTCTGTTTGGTGGAGGTTCAAGAGGCCCAACCCACGATGTCTGGATCTGAGACCTAAGGGAACCTATCGCCCACACCCAGGGAAGCACCTGGTTCCAAAGAGAGAGCGGCTTCAAGGTCATGCGAGCAGTCAAAGCCAACTCAGTCCCAGAGTCTGTGGTTCCTCCCCAGTGTTCCCTCCCCCATCGCAGCAAAAAGGCCATGGAATACCCTCCTTGACCCCAACTGTGAAAGGTCATTAGTAAAGAGAGCCCTCCAGGTCTACAGGGGACAATGGTACAGGAACTAGGGCCACATCCACGGATCCTGGACCAGAATCAGCAGACGCAGATGAAGCTCGACGTTCCCACACACCTTGGCACTACTCTGCCCCTACGACACAGACCAGGTCCAAGGAAATGGAACTACATTTTAACCCCTTGGCAGAATGGAACAGCAAGGTAAAGTTGTCATAAAAATGATTTGTCTCCATACCTAAATCATATAACTGAGCTTTCTTTCCAGTATAACAAGCTAACATTTATATCAAGCACTGAGTTGGTGCCAGAAGTTAAGTGTGTTTATCTCATTCAAATCCTCTTACTCCTATAAAGAAAGCACTAGAAGCCAATTATTATGCAAGCAATAAGAAAAAGAACTTCACTGTGGTTCTGGGAGGTATCTTAGAACAGGAACTCATCCCACCAGTGGAGCCCAGCCTGGGACCACCAGGATGGGTGAGCCTTATGCCAGAATCTGTGCTTGTGTCCAGAAATGTCATCCCTACAGCCTGTGTTCCTGTGGCAAACCCTGAGCAATTTTGGGGGGATGGAGTGGGGAGGAGGCACGGCATCTCCCCTGACCCTGCCGTGCGCGGTTCCATGAGTGGCTCAGGATGGCCACACGGAGCAGAGGCTGCCCCCCTGCAGCTGAGACTCCGCACTGATGGTCCCCACAGTGTGGGGCTCGCTGTGCATGGAGCCCACAGGGAGTGCAGGCTGCGTGCCCAAACCAGGGAAATGTGTGTGGTTGTTCTCACAGTCAAGAGCCCATCTGACTGAATCTTACAAAAAAAGGACTACAGTAGGAATATGGAATGTTAAGGAAACAAAATGATCTGTCCCCTCCTTACAGAAAAGGGAAGAAAAAAGCCACCCAGGACCAAGGAAGAGATGAGGTACAGTCCCACTCAGGGAAAGGAGGCTCCTCCTCCTACCTCTGTGCAAGTCCCCCGATCACAGCCTTTAAAGGTCTCTCTCTGAGCTGGACTTCCATTTGCCGTCATCAGAATAGCCGGCTGGCAACAAAAAGAACTTACGTCATGAAAGAAACCTAAATGTATTAATTTAATCCCTTTATTCTTTCACAGCATCCTGTGGACTTCACGTCCAATAGTTTCACTATTGTGAGGCTGAGAGGGAAGGCTTCCCCAATCTGCAGACAGAGCAGGTGTACCAGGCTAGGAAGGCCGCAAGGAGGCAGCCACAACGTCCACGGTTGTGCTGTTCTGAGTGCAGATCCCTCCTGCCCTCAGCTCCTAGAATGGTCCTTGTCCCAGGACAGCTCATCTCAGGTACACGAAGCAGCGAGGGCCTCTTCCCTCATCACAGAGCTCTCACTCCAGGCCTTGAAGCAAATGTACATGTGCTAATAACAATAACCAGAGGAATGGCCAAATGAAGAACAGTGGATGTGGCCAGATCGGTGAGCTTTATGCCAGAATCTATGCTTGTATCCAGAAATGTCATTCCTACAGCCTATGTTCCTGGGATTAACAAATCCTGAGTGACACATGAGGTAAATTCTTCACCCACAACTCGGCCAACACCAGGTGTCTGAAGGAGCACCTTCAGAGCAAAATGAACATATTTAGTTGTCCACCAAATTGTTTAACCAACTTGCTGCTTGACCTTCTAGCAGATTCCCAGGTGGCAAATACACTAACCTTTCCACGATAAATTATACCTCCCTTTGAACTGCAGCAGTATTCTCAAAGCTGCTTTGGAGTAGAGATGGAGGGAGTAGGGTGAAGGCAGGGTGGATTATGGAGAAGAAAGAGTATTCCTATAGTTCACAGGGCTGATAGTCTGCCACTGAAGATACCATCTTCCTTGACTAGAAGACCCTTAAAGCTTCGGGGTAGATGGAACCTTGGCCTAGGATCCAATGCCCTCTTCCTAAGGCCCAAGAAACCCCTGGAAGGTAGAAACCCATCAGGTATGAGGAAGCATAAAAGCCAGGTGAGAAGAAAGATGTCACCAATCTAGGACAGGTGGCTACCAGGCAGTCATGAACTTAGGAAGGGCCCCCAGGAGGGTACATCTCTTTCAGCTCTGTCTCTTGAGTATGTAAATGGCAGTTGGACTTAAATCCTTCCCCACCTGCTCTTTCCTCAACTTCCCCCATCTCACTAATGTGATAACTAGACTCCTCTTGGAATCACAGTGGGCCTCATTCACACCTCACATTGACTGCACTGGCCAATCCTGTTGAGTCTATCTTTGAAATCTAAAGGGGAGAATTCAACCTCCTGACATCTCAACCATGTCCCGGTCCAACCTGCCCTCACCTCTCACCCAAATTACTTAGGGTCACTTTCTCCTGTGTAGAAATAGCCTGGACTAAGGGTTTATTTCAGAATTAGTTACAAGTCTGTAAACTGGTCTTGCCACTTCCATGACTGCCCCTCCCCCTCATCTCTTCTCTGCACGGGGCTGCAAGTCATTACAAGAGCCTCTGATGGTCCTCCACCCTCACTCACAGTAAAAGCAAATTCCTTGTAGCCTGACACCCACAATGGTCCTCACACCACAGTGGCAGATGGCCCCCAGGCCAGAAGAGGCCGCCCACACAGTAAAACATCAGGGTCCCACCACAGGTCCCACTTGGTGTGAGGACCAAGAGCCGGGTAAAATGATGGGCGTCTCAGAAAGTGCTTCTGGCCCAGACAACTCCAGGTTAGAGGAAAATATCTATCTTCGTAACAGAAATATACTTATGCCTGTTCTAAATCTTTATCTGGGATTAATAAACCAATACCTCCAAATATTTAGTTAGTAATGAAAAAAATTAGACACCGTTTGACAATCTGATATGGAGTCACTGTCAGCCATGACATTTATATAAAGGGGCAATATGCTGAAGACTGAGGTAATGGGGTATAACAGAAACAACTTTTGGCCCTGGCTGGTGTGGCTCAGTGGATTGAGCGTGGGCTGGAAACCAAAGGGTTGCTGGTTTGATTCCCAGTCAGAGCACATGCCTGGATTGCAGGCCAAGTCCCCCAGTGGGGACCACATGAGAGGCAACCATACATTGATGTTTCTCTCCCCTTCTCCCTCCCTTCCTCTCTCTCTCTAAAAATAAATAAGTACAATTCTTAAAAAATAAAAGGGACAGAGACAAATGAATACTTAAAAAAAAACAACTTTTGGAGTGACCTAAACCACAAGAGTGGACACGTGGATAAGGTCTCCACATGGACACTAATATGAGAGGGACCACCACCCACTGTGGGCTAGAAGAACTTACAGCTCTGACCATCCCCCACTTGAGCTTGGCTATACCATGGGTCATGCTTGGAGCCCAGGGGAACTTCCACTCCACTAGACATGTGCTGCCACTATAGCTGCCTGGCTTGAGATGGACACCCACCTCCCCGTCCCTGGAGGCTACCAGTAATCTGGACGTTGAGCTCTATCACGGGAAGGTCCCCCTTTCTGCATGTAACCTATGCATAACCCCACTCGCTTATTGGGGAGGTTCCCCATATTAAACCTGGCATCATAGAAAGACACAGTGTGTACGAGTGACTCCTTTCAGGGTTGCTCCCTTGTTCACAACAGGGATCAATTCAGTTACACATAATGCTGGACCCTCCAACATTGTTACATCTTTTTCCAGGCCTTAATAGAAAGAGACTGGAACAATCAATAAAAGATGCATTTAATCCTGTCAAGAAATGGAAACTCCTACCACATGTAACTAGAATTCAAACTCCCAAGGTCTGCAATCTTGTCCTTAAAGCCTTTTTTCCTTCTTCTAAAGTAAATAATTATAATACCTAAGAGTACTCATGTGGCTCAAATCCAGACTCCAGCAAATGAGCACATTTCTGATCTTTATGAAGTCTTGTGCTATTGGTTTAGGCAAACTCCTTTGACATCCTTTAAATTTTATGTATCACAATTAAACATAATCTTCATGTGCTGAACATTTAAAAACTATTTTAATCCATTGTTGCCTTTCTCCCCTAAATTTCTATTCTGATTGTGTGATTTAAATAAGGCCTTTTATATTAAATACAGAGGGTGTATTCATTTAGAAATAATAATTTCCACTAAGACCAGCTAAAGAATCAGTGATATAACTGTACCACAGTTTCTTATTATCCGAACCAAACATAAAAGGCAAGAAACATTAAGGCAAATCATAAATAAAGTATAATTCATATTAAACATAATTAGGAACTCAGCCAAAGGCCAACATACGCAGTACTACTGGGTCAAATTTTTAAGAGCACATTTTTGGGACATACACCTGGGGCTGAAACCCCAACCTTTCCTCTTGTAACTAAATCTGTAAAAAATCCAACTCCAGGTCACTTCCACATGAGAGCTGGTCCTGCTTATACTCCCGGTGTCACATCCACTGAAAACTGCAAAGACCTACAAGCGTGCAGCAGAAGTACCCCAGTAAAACTGCTCGGTGTACGTACAGGACGGGTTCTGGAAAGACTGCCTTACCTACCAGGAAAGGTCCTACTAGGCAGCAAGCACCACGCTGAGAAGACTTGGTCGCCGCTGTGATGACAGAAGAAATTACTTCCACTCCAAACTCATGATGCTTGAAAAACTCTGCCTTTTCGGGCCAAGCCCGGTCCCAAGGAAGCCCACCCAGGCGAGACTTCACAGGAAAAAAAAATGCCCTGGGGCCCTAGGTAAGGGGTGTAGACAGGCCAGGGCACATCAGGGAAATCCAGGGGAGAAGAGAGGTGGGCGCGGCAGCCGGCGTGCGCCGGGCGCTGCGCTATCCCCAGCCGGCCACCTGCCGCGGGACCACTCTGGGGGACGCCGGGCAGCTCGTGACGGCGGCGGATGACACGCCTTGGACCTCGTGGCAGAGGGTACTGTGCTGTGCCCCGCGGCGCGTCCGGGAAGTTCGCCAGGTGGGTGCTCCAACCCACAGACCCCTACCCATAGACCGGAGAGGGTCGCGGCGCCGCGGGTGTCGCGGGTGTCCGCGGCCGGACCGAGGCACCAGGTGGCTCACTATCGATCGCTGGGTGTTGCATCATGCAGCACGCTGCGCCTTATCCTACAAAATGGACTCCGGTGGCGGGAACGCCTCATGGGCACCAACCGCGCATCGCTGGGCTGCCCTACCCTCGCCACCCCGAATATGTCAGCACCCCTGCGTGGGGACCCGAGCCGCCCTCCCACGACTCCACTCCACGAGGTCCCGGGGTTCTACCCAAGGTGACCCGGATCCAGGAGCTGCCCTGGCGTGGCAGGGCCGGACACTCACCGAGCCCGAGGGCGGTGGGATGCAGGCAGGACCGTGGCTGGATGGACCGAAGCCTGGACGGAAGCGCGCGGGGAGTGGAGTAGGGCTGCCGTTACTGGATGCCGGTGGCTCTGCGCGCGTGTGGACAGCATACACCTGCCTGCGCTGACGGAATGAAGGGTGGCTGGCGGGAGCGGAATCCGCGCCTGGTTTTATCAGCCGCCGTTGCGTCACGACCGTGCACCAATGGGAGGCGAGTGGCCAATCAATGTGGGTTTGCCGCTGGGCAGTGCCTATTCACCGGGTTGCTATTTCTCTGTGTCTCGGAGCCGGGGCGGTGGCGGGACTACATCCCAGGGCACAGACCTTGCCAAGCCCACTGACACTGGTTTTCCTCTTCTAATAGGAAGGCACTTCAATGCTTTCTTAAAAATTATTATACATCTTCGTTTCTTTTATTACTATGCCCTTGCTTTTGGTAGAGAACAGCCCTGGCCCATTGTCAGGAAAGGCCCCAAAGCCTCCATCTGCTGGCGCTCCTGGGAGGTGGACTAGCACACCTGGCCAAGGGGCTAGTCAAGGAGCTTCCTTCCAGACGCACTCTCCCAGATATTTTCCACTCCCACCCTACGCAACTCACCAGCCACCTCTTTGTTGTCTCTCTCTGCTCCAATAAACCAAGCAAGGACCATTATCTATAGAGATCCAGTAATCTGTGACAGGAGAGATGAGCTGTCCAGATTCATCCTGCCAGCCTCCTGACTTTGTAGAAAAACTAAAAACCCATTTGTCCATGTCCATGGTCAGTACATCCTTTCCACACCTTCTACCTATCCAAGTCCTTGGTCAAAAATGGGGACTCATTGTCAGCCACCACACATGACACCCTCTTATAATCACACTAGCAACTTATACAGCATATGATCCCATGTGCTATCTTGGGAAACGGTTTTAATGAAAGGAAAAAAGGGGCTAATATTTGTAAAGCACATTGAACTGTACACTGGCTTGGAACTCATTGTAATAAGCAACTATATATGCCTTGTGTCAAAATAATAGTTTCAATTGTGCAGTGGTGAAATGATGCTTCCAAATGACACTGAGAAGGCCTACCTTGCTGGGGCTTTTCCTGAACCCCACGCAGCCTCCCTCACCTACGGGTGCTGCCATCAAAGGATGTCCCCTCCTCATCCAGTTCAACCCAAGGACCGGTTCCTTTGCTTTTGGCACCAGATCTGGGTTTCATTCTGACCCCTACCACCTCATTCATTGTGAGGTCTTCTGCAACCCACTTTACCGGTGCTTGGAACTCATAAACCTCATTAAAATTTTTTAAATTCTATTTTACTGAATATGCTATTACAGTTATATCACTTTTCCCTTTTTACACCCCTCCATGCAGCACCGCCCACTCCCTCAGGCAATCCCCACACCATTATTCATGCCCATAGGTCATGTGTATAAGTTCTTTGGCTACTCCATTTCCTACACTGTACTTTACATCCTCAGGGCTATTCTGTAACTATTTATTTATACTTCTTAATCCCCTCACCTCTTCACCCATTCCCCTACACCCTCTCTTATCTGGCAACCATCAAAATGTTCTTCATATCCATGATTCTGCCTCTCTTTTTGTTTGCTTAGTTTGGTTTTTTTTTTAGATTAAATTGTTGATAGATATGTCTTTATTGCTATTTTATTGTTCACAGTTTTGATCTTATTCTTTTTCATAAGTTCCTGCAACATTTATATAATAATCATTTGGTGATAATGAACTCCTTTAGTTTTTTCTTGTCTGGAAAGCTCTTTCTGCCCTTCCACTCTAAATGATACCTTTGTTGAGTAGAGAAATCTTGGCTGTAGATTCCTGCTTTTTGTGACTTTGAATATTTCTTGGCAATCCCTTCTGGCCTACTAAGTTTCTTTTCAGAAATTAGCTGACTATCTTATGGAGATGCACCTGTAGGTAAGTAACTGCTTTTCTCTTTCTGCTTTTAAGATTCTCTCTTCATCTTTAACTTTTGACATTTTAATGATGATGTGTCTTGGAGTGGGCTTTCTTGTATCCATTTTGTTTGGGACCCTCTGTGTTTCCTGAACTTCTACGTCTATGTCCTTTCATTATTTTTTCAAATAGTTTTCCAATTTCTTGCTCTCTCTCTTCTCCTTTTGGCATGCCTATGATGTGACTGTTGGAATGCTTGTCTTCTTACCATTCTGATAGTTTTTTGCTTCTATGTGTTCCAAATCATTGATTTGATTCTCTGCTTCATTAACAGCAGTCCTTGCAGCTGGCAGGCCTGGGTAAATCCTCCCACTGACCTGCCAACAGCAATCAAGGCTCAACTATAAGAGGAGAGTGTACTCAGCCCACACGAAGGACACAGCCTGAGTACCCAATTTGGGTGATAGGTGAGGCAGTGCCACTGGACCCTACAGGACACCTATTATATTAAGCCACACTGCCAAGACAGGGAGTCATAAAAGCTCTACCTAATACATAGAAACAAACACAGGGAGGCTGCCAAAATGAAGAGACAAAGAATTATGGTCCAAGTGAAAGAACAGATCAAAACTCCAGAAAAAGAACTAAATGAAATGGAAATAAGCAATCTGCTAGATGCAGAGTTCAATACACTGTTTATAAGGATGTTCAAGGAACTTAGTGAAGATCTCAATAGCATAAAAAACATCCAATCAGAAACAAAGGATACACTAATTGAAATAAAGAACACTTTACAGGGAAACAACAGTAGAGTGGATGAAACCTCTATATTCTTATCACAAGGCTATCCTTATTCTTATAAGGCTATCCTTTAGTGTTTGAAATATAACTATGGAGTAAAAAAACTTCTTAGCAATAAATAGAATTTAGTAGATTGTAGAGTTTCTCCATTTGAGTAACACAGAGAGGAAACATAGAGTTAATATTTGCAAATTCTGAGAGCAAGTTGTCCAGGCCCTAACAGGAATGAGATTTAAAAAATTTCCTTAAGAAAAAGGATTTTTAACACCATGCTCAGGTTAGCAATCCCACCCAGAAGCAAGACAACAAGAGCCCCTCGTGACAAGGCCCATAAGCAAACAACCTCCCATCAAAAAGGATTCAGTGTCAACTAGGAAAAAAATCATTATGTTCGAGGACTCTGCAGACTGTTGGAGAAAAAGCTGAAAAATTGGTTGAATATTTTAAGTAAAGCTAAATTTTAGCTAGGTTAGGATTCACATTGCCAGTCCAGAGTCATAGGCAACCTTGATTAGAATCAAAGAACAATTGAGCCAAGTTTCCAAAGACGATTAGTCTTAAAGCCCTGGAGGACACCATCTAAAGTTAAGATCTTTGGACAAAGTCCCAGCCTAATACATTAGGTAATATAGAAAATGCACAGAATTAGTCATACAGATGTGGTTGTGAACTCTATATTTTCTGTCAGCTGCTGGCCTAGGAAAATTGTGTTTGTCACCTCTTAGCCTCAACTAGAAAGAATTTTGCTACCTATTGGATAGGTATAAACTTCATAGTGAGAATGAAAAAAATATTCAATAAAAATCAAGCTGGAAAAATATATACATAAGGCACTCACAAAAATTAAATCAAAATGGATTGAAACCTTAAACACAGACCTGATACTGTAAAACCCTTAGAAGCAAACACAGACCAAAAACTCCTCAACACTGGTCTTCACAATGAATTTTTGATATGAAACAAAGCACAAACAACAAAAGACAAAAATGAACAAATGGGAGTATATCAAACTTAAAAGTTTTTGCATGTCAAAAGAAGCAATAAACAAAATGCTACCATGCAATGGGAAAAAACTTTGCAAATCATATATCCAACAAGGGGTTAATATCCAAAATATATAAAGAATGCATTTCTCATAACAAGAACAAAAATGAACAATCTGATTTTACAATGGGCAGAGAACTAAATAGACATTTTACAAAGAAGACATTCAAATGGCCACCAGGTACAAGAAAAAATGCTCAATATTACCAATCACCATGGAAATGCAAATCAAAACAATGATGAGATATCACCTTATACCTACTAGAATGGCTATTATCAGAAAGAAAAGAGAAAGCAAGTGCTGGTGAGGATGTGGAGAAAAGAAAACCCTGGTGTACTGTTGGTAGGATTATAAATTGGTGCAGCCACTGTGGAAAACAGCATGAAGGTTACCTGAGAAATTAAAAATAGAGCTACCATATGATCCAGCAATTCTACTTTGGGTTAATTACCTGAAGAAAATGAAACATTATTGTGCAGCCAAGATATGGAAGCAACACATGTCCATCAACAGATAAGTGGATAAAGATGTGGTACATGCAAGATCTGTGCACAAGGAATTCAGCCATATGCTATAAAAAATAGAGATATTTGTTGAAGAAGATACAAGATACAAGAAACATTGTACATAGGACAATGATGCCTCAGTCCACTGCAAAGTATGCACCTTGGGACATCACACACTTCTCCCAATTGCCATCAGCTGCCCTGTTGTATTTTCCTGAATCTTATTGACAGTCTGCAATCTCTTCCCTTTCAAAGGTGATGTTAGTTTTGGGAAAAGCCAGAAGTTGTAGGGCATCAAATCTGTACTATTGGGGGGCTGAGTCACCTAGGTGATTTGATGTTTTGCCAAAAGACTCTGCACAGGACCTGATACATGAGTGAGTGGATTGTCATGATAAAGCTGCCAATCACCAATTGCTCATAGCTGCAGCCTTCTGAACCATCCAAATATTTTCCATGGAGGAACTTTCAAGTTCGACGCAAAATTTGGTGCAGATCCATTGTTCTACTCAGTCATTTTGAATGGGATGGCCACACAGTACACACACTCACTCAACAGCATCTACCTTCCCCACTGACTAGTACAGTGAAGTTGTCATTGTTCACACACGCTCATTCCAGTCCACTCTCCTTGGCTGCCAGGTTACATCGATGTCATGCAAACCATTCTCCTTATATTACCAATGGATGGACTTTTTCAGACAGATTTCAGATAGTCAACCCTCTGTATTCATGGTTTCTGCATCCAAGGATTCAACCAACCAGGGATGAAAAATATTTGGAAAAAGAGTTATACTGTTGCTGATATGTACTACTATGTAGTTAGGCCTATGATGGTTGCACCTGTACTAAATATGTACAGATTTGTTTTTCTTGCCATTATTCCTTAAATAATATAACAACTATATTGCA